GGGTTGCGGGAACGAGCCGATGTCTAAATTTTTGCCACGCACGACGGGTATACAAAAGGTCACGTGAGAGTTGAAGCGTTTTCTGTAGTGGACACTGAATTCGAACGGCGCGCCTCTTCGGCCGCTGCCTGTTCGCTTCACCTCCCGCCGCAGCCTCTTCGCGTCCTTCTCCTGTGCCTATATAAGAGAGGTCGCTCCTCTCCAGAGAGACACAACAGAAGCTCCTCTTCCTCTCGCCACAAAGTTCCTAGCACTGCGCTACTGCTATGTTCTTTCCCATCCCGTCTTGCGGCGTGCACCGCAGGTCGGGACAGTAGGCCTCCGGAACCGCACCTTTTGAGTCCTGTACGGGAGAAGGGTGATAAGGTTTTTGGGGAGCGCTCCGCGCGACTACTGGCTTCTTCATCACGGACTCCGACGACTACTTCCCCGACGACGACTTCTTCCCCGACGTCGACAACCTCATCGACGACATGGCTGGAGAGGATGTCGACCCCAAGTCCAGTGCTTCTGCTGCTGCTGTCCCGTACGTGTTCTTGCTCTTTCTGTTAGATGTCATGACACAGTTCTTTGCTCTAGTTTCTGTCCTACATATGTTAGGTTCTACTTCATATATGCAACTTCATCTAGTGTCTGTTCTAGATGTGTTTAGTTTAAGTTCATATATGCAGATGCTCTTTACCTTCTTTCTGTCAGAACGCATGACTTGTTTTATCTCTACTATATTAGTCATGCTTTATCTAGTATTTCTGTTAATAAAATCATTTGGTAAATTGCTCATATTTCCAACACAGGATGCAGCCGAGTGCCAATAATTGAGAGACGCTACACCTAGGAAGGAATCCTACATGGTTAGAGGTACGGGTTTAGACGTCAAGATATGGCTGAAAATCATGAGAGGGAGGCACTCACAGTGTGAAAGTCAAAGGAGGGGGGATTAGTAAAGGGAAGAGATGGGTCAATAAGTTATTTTCTTCATGTGTAGGATTTTTGCCTACATGTTCCTAAGTATGTAGCCATCGTAAATGTCTTGTTTACATATGGCAAATGAAGATAACTGGTGCCCATTTTTCACACCATCTACTCGGATAAGTAGAGGAGAAACAACAATGCATTTTGTTGCTTCCGTCACCGGACCCTGACTCACCCTCAGCCTTTTGCTAATCTTGGCTTCTTGCACTCTCGAACAACTTTTTTTGCTTCAATCACCGGACCTGATGAAACAGCACCAAAAACCTTGTGCTAATCATGTACTGTCGCTCACCTTCATTAGGGACTTGAAGCTTCAGTATCTCGTTTATTAGTTGAGCTGAACCGGTCCTCACCTGTACATGTGTAGATTCACCACAAGGCAATACAATCAGACATCCCTTATGCGCATTTCAAAAAAGAAAATCCCTTACGTGGCCTAAACAGCATTCTCAGTTATTTGATTCATTCCGTGGTGCGAAATCTGTCATTGGCTAAACAATCATTTGGTTATGCTTTGCTCTCACCCAAACTATAAACCAATAAAAAATTATTTGCCATGCGTTTCCCAATCGCATCGAAAATTCACAAATCAAAAAGATAATGTGAGAATGTAGATACAATGGTATAAAAATACTTATATCTCTGCGTAGCCTAGACTAGGTCAGTCAATGCGCACATGTATGCACGCGTGTTCGGTAGCACTCTCTATCACGGTACGTTGCGGCTGCTCTACTGCAACCTGCCCAACTTGTAGAAAGCTTTATAGTAATGGATTGGAGAGACAGTCATCGAACAACCGGCTGGTATCATTTTACTATCCGACGATGATTCCGGCAGCCGCATTGACGGTGTTGCTCCTGCAGCTCTGCCTCTCAACGGTGGCGGCTCAGGTTACGCCAGGCGCAGGGACGCCCCCGCCGCGCTGCCCGGCCAGCTGCGGCGGCGTGAAAGTGCCGTACCCGTTCGGCATCGGGAACGGATGCCACCGGCCGGGATTCAACCTCACCTGCGACAGGACGCGCGGCGGAGAGCCGCGGCTGCTCGTCAGGCCCGGCCCTGAGGGGGGGCAGGGGGGGCGGCCGCCCCGGGCCCCCATAATCGAGGGGCCCCTCCCCAGTACAAGGCCTCTGTTCTAGTGCGAAAAAAATCTATGGGTCGTGGGCCGTGGCTAGAAAGGCAACCAGGCGTGGACGCCGGCAGACTCTATTCCTTTTGTTTCGGTGAAATCGATTCCTTCCTATTCCATCACGTACCAGTCCTCTAATTCTGCGCCGTTCGTTTTCTTTAGCTCGTTTTCTCCTAATTCCGATCGCCAGTTCGTCCTCTCGTGAATTTCTATTCCTGGATCGCGAGACTCTAGCCGGTACCTAGTACACAACAGCGCTCTGCTCTCCTGCCTTCAGACGCTGGACAAGCTCGCACACAACGCTGCTTCGTCGAACTCTAGATCCAGACGCGAACCAGTACACATCGCGCAATCCCAGGTATGTTGCCGTTCCCTAATGCCTACTCTCTGTACGTATATTACTGATTATAAGTAATTTATCCCCTCGCATATATTTTCACTATGGTGAAAAGTGAATACAATGTGTGGATTAACCGATACAATCACAAAGAGAAGCTATTAATAATTTTTCAAGAGCAGTACTAGTGCTTCGACGTACCCAAATAATAAGTTGGTGATAGTTGTTGTGGAGGAAGAGAAGCATATTAAAGGAAATTCTTAATCTGAGGAAGAGATAACTGTTGGCATCAATACAAGTGAAAATAATGTAAGTGGTCCTAAGAGTACAGTTTTTTCATTAGGGGCACACGCACAATCTGCTAGTTTTGATGAACATTCAGTCTTACCCTTTTGTGAGTTAAAATTGTGAAATTCACTTTGCTGGACGGTGTAATTCTATGAATATTTTTTACCATGTCACAGAATTTGATTGTTATCCTAATGTCTCTGTTGTATATAACATCTTATTTACAGTGCTTGTGACTGTCACATCGGCTGACACTAGATTTTCAGAGTTAAAATTGTTGAGAGGTCAATAATGAATCATAAATTCAAATGGTTTGGCAACAATATGTGTCGAGAAGAAATTATTGGAAGAGATTGAATTCAACCTCGTCATAAGTGAACTTGCATCGGGCAATGATTACTTTTGAAAGGTAATATGTATAATTAGTTGACAAGTATATATGTATAAATTCATTACTATTATTTGTTGTTTCTACTAAGGGCCCCTAGTTTTAGTTTCGCCCCGGGCCACCAAAATCTCAGGACCGGCCCTGCTGCTCGTCGGCAGCGACCTCCAGGTCGTGGAGATCTCCCTGACCAACTCCACGGTGAGAATCTTGGACAGCGCCGGCCAGGTCAAGCTCACCTTCTCCAGGGGGCTCGACGGCACCGGCACGTGGGGCGGCCTCGGCGCCGGCGGCCCTTACGTGCTCTCGGAGATGCGCAACCACTTCGTCGTGACGGGGTGCAACGTGCAGGCCACGCTGGTCGGGGACGGCGGGGTCGTAGGCTGCTGCTCCTCCTTCTGCTCCATCAACGACAAGTGGACGGGCGTCGTGACGAGCTCCGCTGGCTACGGCGGCGCCGCCTGCTCTGGCATCGGCTGCTGCGAGACGCCCATCCCCATAGGCCGCCCTTCCTACGACGTGGAGATGAGGTCGCTGGATGCAAGCGACGAGTACGCCGACAGGCTGCCCATTGCGGTGCGCATCGCCGAGAGAGGGTGGTTCGAAGGCGCCTCCACCACGCTCCTCAACGACTCAACCGGGTACTCGCCCTCCCGCCAGCCGGCTGTGCCCGTCGTCCTCGACTTCGCGGTGGATTCCAAGCCGGTGGTGCTGCCAGGGGTGGCGACGTCGGGCTGCCCCATGCTTCCTGCCGCAACGTCTCCGGCATGTACCGCAGCGGCTACGTGTGCCGGTGCCTGGACGGGTACCAAGGCAACCCATACCTCGCGGGCGGATGCCAAGACATCGATGAGTGCGCGCTTCCGGGCATGTGCTTCGGCGAGTGCACCAACACGGCGGGAGGACACCTATGCCGGTGCCCACGTGGCGCCCAAGGTGACCCGCTCATAAGAAATGGCTGCATAAAATCTTCATTAGGTGAGCACCAAAACAAATAATACATGCAGATTGGAACATAGTTCATGCTCTGTTTTAGATGTCAGAGACTCTTCCTTCATAACAAAGACACATTTTCTGTGCACATTCTTCAGGTTTAAGTGTTGGCATAGGAGTTGGCAGTGGAGCCAGCCTTCTACTCATGGTACTTGGTGCTATTTTGGTGTCCCGGAAGATGAAGCAACGGAGGGCAAAACTGCTCAAGAAGAGATTCTTCAGGCAAAATCGAGGGCATCTTTTGCAACAATTGGTGTCTCAGAAGGCGGACATTGCCGAGAGGATGATCGTCCCCTTGGTGGAACTACAAAAGGCCACGAACAGTTTCGACAAAGCTCGTGAGATCGATGGAGGAGGGCACGGAACGGTTTACAAAGGCATCATGTCAGACCTGCATGTCGTGGCGATCAAGAAGTCCAAGGTCGTGATTCAGAGGGAGATTGACGAGTTCATAAATGAGGTGGCCATCCTCTCGCAGATCAACCACCGAAACGTGGTGAAGCTCTTTGGGTGCTGCCTTGAGACGGAGGTGCCGCTGCTGGTGTACGAGTTCATCTCCAATGGGACCCTCTACCATCATCTTCATGTCCAGGAACCAGCGCCATCCCTAACATGGGAAGATAGGCTAAGGATCGCAACCGAAACTGCGAGAGCTCTCGGCTACCTTCACTCGGCGGTGTCCTTTCCTAGTCCACAGGGATATCAAGTCCCAAAACATTCTGTTAGATGGCAGTCTCATAGCAAAGGTGTCAGACTTTGGAGCTTCGAGGTGCATTCAAGTCGATCAAACAGAGACTGCAACCGCTATCCAAGGGACATTTGGGTACCTGGACCCATTGTACTTCTACTCGGGACAGCTCACCGAGAAGAGCGACGTTTACAGCTTCGGCGTCCTCCTCATGGAGCTTCTCACTAGGAAAAAACCATGCACATATCGGTCATCCGAGGAGGAAGCCCTTGTCACATACTTCACCGCTTCGCTAGCAGCAGACAAGCTGGTTCGCGTGCTAGATCCTCAGGTCGTGAAAGAAGGCGGCAAGGAGGTTGAAGAAGTAGCTGTGTTGGCAGTGGCATGTGTGAGGATTGAAGTAAACCAGCGGCCAACCATGAGGCAAGTGGAGATGACACTTGAGAACCTTGGGGGCTCGCATGATAGTTTTGTAATGCATGACAAGGATGTGCCCAAGTATCCAATGATTGAGGGTACGAACATGGAGGAAACAAGCCAGCAGTATAGCTATGAAGCAGAGTATTTGTTGTCATCAAGGTACCCCCGGTAGTCAATATATTTCTTGTGTGATCAGTTTAATTTGACAAATGATTCCTTCTGTAATTGGATATAAAGAGGGATATAATGGTTTTTGTGGTACATGTAGTAATTTCTGAAGGAAACAACGAGACTTAACATAGGTGTCCATACCTTTTGGAGCTGCGTAGTTTTGCTCTGTCTTAAACTCATTTCTTTTCTTACTGATCCGACAAACAAGAGAACTTGCATTATTGAAACAGAAATGCAAGCGTTAAAAAAACAAAGATGGAACGATACTTTCAAAAAAAAATACCACCAAAGATAATATATACCTATAAATCTATCAATTAACACAACAAAATTAGGCATTCTCCCCCAGTAATAGTATAAAATTACAGTTTAGAGATGATCACAGTTTCGAATATAACACATTTCGATCGCGTTAGGAATGTCTTAACAACAATTTGAGGCGTACATGGATGCAAATTCACCATCGAATACTTCTCTTATGCACCTCTCTATGTAACTCTTGGTTTTTCACTGCACCTTTACCACGATGCACGAGCACACCAATTTTCCTTTCTCACCACACCAATGCATTGTTGTAGTTGGTTAATCATTTACTGAGGCATTGCCAACAGTGAGTTCCATCCGCACGGAATTAAGAAACAACCTGTTGATGAGTTCATAAGTGAAATATTATTTTTTTTGCTAGCTACTTAGTTATTTGGAACAGATCACTCGATCTGTTCACTACACATTCTGCGGGATTCACATCCCTTTTACACTTTGAGTTAGACAGAATTAGATTTCATTAAGAGATAAGCTACAGCTTGCAAGATTTGGCTGAGCACATGACCCTAAACTATATTAACTAGATTAGAAATATATCTTTGCAAGTTAAGGACACTGTACTCTATGGTACACATATACCTCATACACCCTGTATGAAAGTATCAGGGACAACAGCAATATGCTCTTGTAGCATCAAATTATCGCAAACCATTACTAAACAGTCAACACAACCTAAGCGAAGACAGAGTCTATGGAAGGATAAGCAGTAAATTTAGGAAAAATATATGTTTATACTGTTCATGTTTCCATATTCCCCGCCTTCAGGTTTCTCCAGTTATGCTGATGAAAACTAGATAGAGACAGTATTTTAGCAGTAGACATGGCTTGTGCGATATTCAGAAACCATAGTTTCTATCTACCATAGTAGTATTATACTGTAAATGTTACCTTTTCACATTGAAATTGATTAATATGGCATTGTGTTGCTATGACTGGAGACTAACGCCTTTGCACACTAATTTATAATTGCTAGGACGTCAACATTTATTTCATTTCATCGTCTGAAAACAAGGACAATTAGTGAATATTAATATGCAGTAAGAATATTAGACGTCACAACACCTCACATGAACAGTGATGGTTTTTATATTGCTCCGCTTATATACTTTGATAATGTACTTTACACATTCAGCAGCACAGTGTTTTAACTGTTCATATACGAACCTGTAAGATAGCTACATGGATTTTTTTTTCTTCTGCTTAATAAATCACACAATCAATTGTAAGTAAAACATATATACCTTATGCCTTGTGTGGTAAAACCTCAAGCTGGGGGCACCAGGAAACAGTTAGCCCTGTACCCTACACTTCACCAGCTTTCTCTGAAACCTTGTATTCGTGAACGGATCTAAGACCCCAGAGGAACTGCTTACCAGATTTGCAGAGTCCATTGACTATCTCCTCTAACAGACTCGGGTCAAGGTCAGTGGCAGTTTCATAGAAGGGCATAGACGAGTGAGCAAGGGAGCTGGCTATCCAGGCATGCCATGCACGGTGCTGTGCTCTCAATTCTCAAAGAGGTCAAACCAATGATCTTGTTGAATGGCAACCGATCGTCGTCCTGGTAGAACGGAAGCACTGTCGGGCTGATTGACTTCACACGCCATGTTGACGCCAGGTAATCCTTCGTCCTGCTTAGAACAGTGAGGCCTAAGTTTACATCACTCCAGCTGGGTTTTGGTCGACCTGTCTCTTGAGCAAAACAGCAAACAGGTTGCGGGCACGAGCAAGATACCTCACCGTCGGCTGTGTTTCATGGAACGAGTTGACGAACAACACTCAACAGGCCCCGCAGCGCACCCGCCGTCCACGATACGCGGCCCTACACGCCTGGCGAAGGCCTCCCCGCACATGACTTCCACCTCGCATGGCTGCGAGAAGGGTACCGCCGGCGGCCCGCCCACGGGAGGTGCGGGTCGTGCACCAGCGCGCGCACGGGCCTCCCCGCCGCGGGCTCGGACAGGAAGAGCGCGTCGAGGGTGAGGGTGTCGGACCCAGCCGCGACCAGCCGGCGCCCGTACTCCTCCATTACTGGGAATCGGAGTTCGTCTCCATTTCCGCCGGATTTCGGGGGGAAAGTGCGGGTTCATGTTGGATTCCTTGGACAGTCAGCAGCAGGTACGAGCAACTACACTTCCTGCTCCACAGCAAAGCCACTTTCCCAGCTCAGGAATTTTAATTTGCTAGGGCGTCTCGAACGTTTGACCAGCAAATCTCTCCGGTATATATATCCGTCTTTATGCCACACAAATCTCTCCGGTATATATTCGTTTTTATGCCACACAAATCTCTCTGGTATATATCCGTTTTTATGTCTGAATGTGATCCACGGACATATGCCGGACGGAGTCATCCAATACTAATAAAAAGTATCGTGTCAGGGGAGAAAAAAGTAAATGGGGACGATGCATGTGGTGCCGGTTGGGAGGAGAGAGGTAGAGGAGATCATGCATGTGCGGTTAGAAGGAGAGAGAAGAGAAGAATCATGCATGTTATTGATCAAGTGCATGTCCGGATTCTGACAAAACCCCTCACATTTGTCTCTTGGACACCGGAATCCATACGTCCGGACTGCTAAACAGGCATATACAGGTTCCGTTGAATGACAAAAGTGGTCCGAACACTGTGGGACAGACATATAGTGGAGGTTTAAGGGTCCTCCTTGAAGATACCTTTAATTAAGCTGTAATACTAAGAAAAGCCTCTTGCATTGCAACGGAAAAAAATACATGTCTCAGTCAATAAAGCATGGATCAAGATTCTGCAGGTGCAGATCTTCTATTTCAACATGGCTTACATGTAAATTTAATAGGTACATAGAAACAAACCGGTGATCATCCATTTTATTTGTAACGCACATGGAATGGAATGTTGTCACAGGAAAGGAAAGAGAAGAACTGGCAATGATAAATTAAGCAAACTATGGGGACATGGATGCATAGTAGGTGGGTTTCCAGTTCAAGCATCACCGACTTAAGGCTTGTTCAGTAGCTGCGGCCACAGCCTCAAGCTCATCCTCACGCCGCTGTCCTCAGCTCGTCCTTGTTTCACTTTGAAACTCCTCATGCCTCCTATATGCTCGTTCAGTTTTGCTCGTCAACATTGTGTGTCTGATAATCTACCCACCTCTTAGCTAACGGACCACTTGGCTTGCTGCTTACAACCCGTCCGAGAGAAGATCCTGGTACTGTTCATCACATTTTTCTAGTATCATCAAGCCAACCTGATCCATCACCTCCGATTGTACATTTGAATTGATGTCCACCACTGATTTCATATGTTTTATAAACTACATGCTCAAATTTTTTTGTTGCAACTGTTGAACATTTGTCCACACACATATTTATTAAAATAACATACGAAGAGTTCTTAAAAATTGCATAAACAATTTAATATATGCAAAAACAATTTTTAATACCCCCATGGTTGTAGCCTGGCCGATGCTCCTACATACTATGTGTTATGTACAACAGAGAGTAAACTGACAATTGGATGTAGGGCGTATGTGGGGATGTATTAAGCTTAAATTAAACTTGTAAACCAACAGACACGTATGACCATGCCAACAAAAGTAACAAACACAACCGAGACTCAATCAAATACAAAAAGCTGACACCAGCTAACAGGAGAAATTCGGAGACGTACAAAAGCATCATCTGACATCATACAGTATAAGGCATAAACTGTTAGTACATCGATCACTCACATACAACACGTACGCACACCATTTTGTATGTGCGCTTATTTGCATAACAGAGTACCGCCTGGCGGGGGAAAGTAGCTAGGTACGTAGAAGCATCTTGCATGAATGGTTCAGACGATGTCGACGACCTTGAAGTGGTGTCGGTTCTTGACGACGACGTCGTACATGTGGGTGGAGCGGAACCTCGCAAAGTCTCGCGGGAGGGCGATGAGGTCGACGCCGCCGTCGCGCCGGTGGAGCTGCACGAGGTCTCGGTTCTCGTAGTAGCGCTCCCAGCCCAGCGACCCCAGCCGCCGCTCCAGCGCCTCCAGCGATCGCATCGTCTCGTTCGCCGGCACGTACACCAGCGCCTTGCCGCTCCGGCTCGACGCCGACGAGCTCTCCTGCCGCTCCAGCTCCATCACCCCGTCCTTCCGGAACACCCACACACCTCCCGCCGCCATCGATTTGAATGATCTACCTACCACGCTGGCTGTTTTTCTGCTACTGCGTGCTTGAATATGTAGGCGCGGGGCCAATAATGTTCTGTGTTATCTGTCCGGCGACATGGACGGTCGAGGGCGCTGTGCGCATGTGAAGGCGCCGCTGCAACTTGGCCGCGCGTCTGGGCCAGGACGTCGTTTCCAATTGGAGCGTGCACCTGTTGGGGGATGCCGCATGCCTAATCGGGGACGCTGTATGCCAAATCCGTCCCCGTCGCCTCGACGTGCGACAGCGACGCCAGCGGCCCAGATATCGAACGAGTGGCTGCCAGCCAGCCCTGCGCTCAGGTGGGCGCGCACGTACGACAAAGATCTGGGCCACTTGCCGTTCCTTGACATGGACATTGCACCACGGATTCCGCCTTTCATTTTCAACTGTTCAAGTGTTAGTTTTTTCCGCTAGTATCATACTCCTACGTATCAAGGTATTTTTAATAAGGTGACACTTAATTAAATGAGAAAAGGAGATGATTGATAATTATAATATGTTACCATATCTTTATCTTTATCTTTTCTTTGCCTAATACTCCATACGTCACCTGTTTATACCCGTTGATTTTATGTTAAGCATATAGATTGACGGATAAGATTTAAAAGTAGATCTATGTTTGTTTCAGTTTTAAAAAAAAGTTGCCGATCACACACACACACGAAGCTTTGATTGGCCGCATAGGCCTTGGCCCATGGTACATCCGATGGGCCAGCCAATTTTATTACAGTCGGACAGACAAGCAGGGAAAAATGTATTTGGAGAACCCAGGACCTGAATTGCCTATGTTGTCGGACACACCCATCTGAGCTAGCCAGCATTTGTGTAGCAATTATCCCACCTCTATTCTTTATACAAAGCTTGACCACTTTTCATATGTCCTGGGTTATCCGAAAATAAGGAAGCTATCTGCACAATCATAAAAAAAAGAGGGACTCCATAAATTATGCCGTGGTGTTGGCTCGAATTAAAGGAAATTGTGGATGGTGTTGATCATTATTATTGTACAAAAATAGTACCAAAACTATCTTAGAAAAACAATGAGACTGTGGGTTCATGAATGAATGGATTTAAAAAAACACGTATGAATTGGATAGAGCAAATGTAGCGCATACACGAAGAACTCGACAAAAGGACCCGGAAACACATGTGTTTTAGAAACTTTCTGCAAAAGACCTCCTAAAAACAAAACAATAATAAAGTCTTTAATAAAATTGGCTGACCCATTAGATGTACCATGGGCCAAGGCCCAGGCGCCTCGAGAATATATGTTGTGTACCAAGCTCAGATAAGATGTGTGCAGTGGTATTTTTGTGGCAGCGTGCCATTTTTCCTGTGATGTATTGTATTATGGCAGTGAATAATCATACAACAGTGTAATTGCAGCCTTTTCATTTATTAACTACCACCTACCACCAATAAAAATCAGAAGCTCATGACCAGGGTGTGTCACGGTAGTTTTCTTTTTCGATAAAGGGCGCTTTTATTAACTCAAAATGTAGCACCAAGTAGATACAAAACATAATGAGTAACATCCGGCATCTGCATGATTAGGATTCACACCGGCAATCACGGACAATCTGACACAAGAAAGAAAAAAAATATTGGCACCAATAAAGTCGTAAAAGACCAACACTATGCATGTGTCTAAGGACGTGGTAGACCGATCAGGAGATTATGCTGCCACCCCTGTTGGATGAAAACCTCCCTGGCCACTCGTTCCAGCTGCATACACACGACCTTGAATAATGGTTGGTATTCCATTCGGTGTAGCATAGAGCACATACGAAGCCATTGTATACAACGGAATATTACCTGTAAAGGAGCAAAGTTGTTGCCATTGAAAATCATCATTTCGTAAGTTGTTGCCATTGAAAATCATCATTTCTACATAGCCACAACGACCATAATAAGGCACACGCTCCCATCCTTATTAGTGGTTTGAACCTATTTGGAATACCGTCCAACCAATGACGAAAAATATTGGCAACACTTGTGGGCGGATACAAATGGGACGCTATTTGGATGACTGACCATCACTAGTAGAAAAACGACTTTTAGTACCGGTTCGTAAGGACCTTTAGTACCGATTCTGGAACCGGCACTAAATGTTGGGGACTAAAGGTCCCCCCTTTAGTCCCGGTTCAACACGAACCAGGACCAAAGGCCCACCACGTGACACGAGGCGCGCCGTGGTCTGGGGGACGTTTAGTCCCAAGTTTTTTTATTTTTTTTAAATAAAGCAAAAACAGCCCGCCTACTGGGCCGGCACGGCCTACATACGACTAGAAACCCAACCTCTAGTTGGGCCAGGATGCAGGCCCGTACGGCCCAATAGGCCCCACAAGGCAGAAGACTTGCAATAGGCCCACAAAGACCTACTTAGAGAGGAGCTCGACATGGTAGCCGTGGTGTGGCTTATAAACCGGTGTGAGCTCCTCTCAACTAGCGAGGTGAGACTAAACATTGTGCACTGCGGGTGACAACGCATCATCTTTAATACCGGTTGGTGGCTTCAAACGGTACTAAAGGGGGGTCTTTAGTACCGGTTGGAGCCACCAACCTGTACTAAAGACCACCACCTCTTTAGTACCGGTTGGAGCCACCAACCCGTACTAAAGGCCACCACCTCTTTAGTACCGGTTCGTGGCACGAAACGTTGCTAAAGGTTCGCCATGAAAACCGGTACTAATGAGTGCCGCCCGCCTAGCCGTTGGAACCGGCACTATTGGTCACATTAGTGTCGGCTCAAATACAAACCGGGACTAATGAGCTCAACATTTTACCCTTTTTCTACTAGTGCATATAGAGCGTGCGAACTTGCACTGAAAAAAAGAGGTGTTTGATTATCTCGTCGTGAGTACAAAAACCACACTTCTTGCTTCCTTGCCAGTTTGTGATGGGCGAGGTTGTTTTTCGTTAGCACAACTCCCCTCCGAAGATACCACATGAAAATTTTAACTTTCAGTGGAATCTTGGACTTCCAAATTTTCATGTTATTATCCACTTGGACCTCTAACTGCATGGTACATATAGTCGACTGTGAAGGACCCAGATGTAGTGAGGTTCCAGCGAAAAACATACCGCCCCTGTGTCAGGTTAATCGAAACCAATAGGGATAGCAGATTTTGCCATGACATAAGAAGGGGGCCAATTAAAACCAGATGAAAGAAATATCGGGTGGGAAATAATTGATCACCTGCGCAAGAGTATCATTCTTATCGCGAACAATGCACTACAAAGATGGATATTGTTCCCGCATGCTGGCATTGCCTAACCAGTTATCTTCCCAAAACGAATCTCCGACCTGTCTTTTATTGCGAAGGATCCAAAACGGAAAAAGATGTTACTTTAATGCCATTAGACAAGCCCAAAAGTGTGAATCATCAGGTTTCCGATAGGCCTGTGACACAACTTTTTGGCCTAGATACTTATTGCGCAACAGGGTTTGTCATGGTAGTTTTCTAAGTGGTGACCACCATGATATGATTCCGTAATAAAAAATGCCCTCTAAAATGATCATAGGAATATCTACTACTCCTACTATTTTTGGTGTTCAGAATCTAGCTAATTAACAACGACACAATTTTTTCCGCTTTTCCTTTCTACTGGACTGAGTTTTTGAGATGTTGTGTCGTTGATCACCAACAGGGTTATTGACATGTCTTCCTTGGAGGACAAAGACGATGACAAGCGATCGACATCTCATCCTCGCAGATAGAGAAGCTGTTGTGGCACGACGCTATCAAGGAGTATGTCGTGTGCTTACCGATGTAATGCAACTCATTGGACACACTTATGCCCGACGAAGGGACGTCGATTGACAAGAAGAAGGTCGATGTGTTAAAGTCTCCCCTAGGAAACATCTTCGACATGGAGGCGGAATAGGGGCATGCAAGAGTGTGAGTACCATGTTGATTGCCTCGGGATGGACCATGTTCATCGTAAATAAGTGGACAACTCGTGTGACCACCATCGGCGATGGTGGCCAAAAGGATTTGTTTCTCCCGATGCAATGCATGGGCATTTGTGCTAGTTATATTAAATGATATATTAGTATGTGTAATGCATGACAATAAATGATGTCATTATGATGCTAAAATATGCTAATGCATTATAAAGATAGTATCATACACTAGCAGTATCATATGTACGATAATCAGTATGTGATACTTCCCATCGTGACTTCAGCAGACATAGTCTCTCTGTGCGCGTGTGTTGACACTGTGGTCACTGTAAGCGGTTGTGCTCATGGCCTGTCCGTGTTAGTGCCTGTAGTGGGCGTAATGATAGAGGTAGTGGCACACGATCTAGCCATGGTTGTGGTTTTGTAACTGTATATATACCCAACCTTTGACCTAATGTAAAGTGTATTGAATCCTTAATCTCCTTTACATGGTATCAGACGTCGCATGATCCCCCTACCGCTTCCATGGATTCCAACCCCATCCACACCCCTCCTCCCTCTCTCAACGGCGACGAGGCCGTCCTTATCACTGCTGTCGAGCCTGCTGATGGTCCCTTGCCCCGCCCCATGGCCTCTCACTAGTAGAAAAAGGGCCTTCAGTTCCGGTTCATAAGGGCCTTTAGTCCCGGTTCTGGAACCGGGACTAAAATGTCGGTACTAATGCCTCTCCCTTTAGTCCCGGTTCAATCCAGAACCAGGACTAAAGGAAATTTTATGATTATTTTTTGAAATTTTTTCTGAATTTTTTTTGATTTTTTTTATTTTCAAATTTCTGAATTATTTTAACCTCTAGTCTGTAATCATCACCCCTCACCACTTCTCAATTTATCCTATAATCATCCCTCATCATTCCAAATCATCTTACTTCCCGAACGGTCACCCATCCTCCCACTCCCCCAGCCTGAGCACGCTTAACTTCCAGGTTCTATTCTTCCTCGCTCCAAGTCTGCACTTGTTGTTTTCCTGACAATACTGAGATGTCAATCCTATTAACCTTCAGGAATTTTGCTTGAGCATGAAGTGACACATTTCATAGTTTTATTTTGAAACTATTGTTTTAAAAAACAATAATTATTTAGTAACACTAATATTTCTTGAATAATTAGTTATACCATTGTTTGACCATAGTTTGACCACAGTTTGACCAAAATTGAAATAAGAAAAATAAATATTTAGTAACACTAATATTCTAGAATAATTAGTTTGACCACATTTTGCCCACCGTTTGAATATTTTTCGATTTTTTCCACTCTAGATCTTAAAAGCCCCGTAACTTTTTTTCTATTAGGTTTTTGAGGATTTTGCAAATTCGGATGTAACTTTTTGAGTAGATGATTTTTCATATAAAAAACTTTTTCATCCGAGTTAGTATGCAAAAGTTATGCCCATTTTTACAAATTTCAGAGAGATTTTGCAAATAAAGTCAAAATTCACATTTGCAAATTTTCCCAACAACTAGACCACATATCACATGGGAAACTTATTTTCTTTTACTTTTTTGACATTTCCATCATTTTCTTTTATTTTTTT